CATCGATGTGGATAACAAGCACGGTCGATCCGTCAAAGCGATACACTCGTTCCTATCACGCTGGAAGGCTTGCACGGAGCTCTGTGCCGGCACACAGAAGAGCCGTGCGGGAAGAAGAGCTCGCTGGGGAGCGAGAACCGTCAGATTTTCAGGTGTAGCCTGAAGTCCGTCGCGACGCACTCAATCCCTCCCGAGCGAAAGCCTGTGGCTCTCTCGAACTCGTCGATATATTGCGAATAAACTGCTCTTCCCGCATAGCTTGCAGAGTCAGAGGCGCAGAAAGGCTACGAGTGTTCGACGAGTCTTGCGAGCTGCGCGGTCAAACCTGGGGGGGACTGACCGCATCAAGGCGGACTTCCGAAACCTGGGTGAGCACCTCTGGCAGTTCTCGCTCCCCATCGAGCTCTTCTTGCCGCACGGCTCTTCTGTGTGCCGGCACAGAGCTCCGTGCAAGCCTTCCAGCGTGATAGGAACGAGTGTATCGCTTTGACGGATCGACCGTGCTTGTTATCCACATCGATGTGACGCACACAGTGACACATCAGACGACACACATTCTCCCACCCGCCGGGACGCAAAACGCTCTCGACGAGAGCCACAAGAAGGCGACCACACAGCAAGCCGCTCGGTCGATCACGTTGCTCGCTCGATGCCGGCGAGCGCATGGCGCACGCCTTGGACGGTGGCGAAGCCAAAAACACCGGCAGTGGCCGTCCGCTGGCGTGAGCGGCGGCGGTCGAGACCTCACCCTTCGCGCCGACGACCCAACCTCACGCGGAACAACCCAACCCAACCCAACAACCCAACCCAACCCAAAAAGCACGATTCTCAAGTTGGGCCCTCATATCGCATGGCATCACAGAAGTTTTATCTCTGGGCCCCGAAAGGCATCTCTAGCAGTGTCGTTACACATGCCCCCTCCCCTCCTGGGCGCATGCGCCTCACGTCTCGCCAGAGCATAAGCCCTTGGCGTGTGGCGAGACGAGTTTTTCGCCATCGCACACACACACACACTGTGTATGTATGTATGTAGTAAGGTGAAGAACAGTCAGGCTCGGACTGGACACCAACGCGGTATGGGTGGACGCTAGACAGATGATGACGACACGCACGAGCGACACACAGACACAAACAGGCTCACAAGACACACCGTGTTGTGCCGACTTGTAAGATTCTTTTTCGCGACGTGTAAACGCCCCAAGATGTGTATATGGCTGAAGCCTCGGCGCCACCAAGCGCGGCGGAGGAGGCGAAACAGTCCGGCACCGCGGCCTTCAAGGCTGGCAGGTTCGACGATGCCGTGGCCCACTTCACTACCGCCATCGAGGCCGACCCGCAGAGCCACGTTCTCTTCTCGAACCGCTCGGCGGCTTACGCGAAGCTCGAGCAGTACAAGGCGAGCGGGCCTCACCGCCGCCTGACCCACGCGCCTCTCTCCTGCCTTGCCACCCACGACTGCCTCGCGCCGCTTGTCTCTCCGCCACCGCTGCTCTCTCACCGCCGCTCTCTCACCGCCGCTCCCTCACCGCCGCTCTCCTCGCGTTCCAGGCGTCGCTCCTGGACGCGAACCAGTGCATCAAGCTCGCTCCCACCTGGGCCAAGGGCCACTCGCGCCGCGGCGCGGCCTACGTCGGCCTCCGCAACTGGCGCCAGGCGGCCACCCACCACCCACCATCACCCACACCACCCACCACCCACCATCACCCACACCCACCATCTCCTACCATCTCCTACCATCTCCTACCATCTCCTACCATCTCCTACCATCTCCTACCATCTCCTACCATCTCCTACCATCTCCTACCGCCACCTCCACCCACCACCACCTCCACCCACCAACCACTTCGCCATTGGGCGAGGAGCGTCGCTCTCCTCCCCACCCACCACCCACCACCCACCACCCACCACCCACCACCAACCACTTCGCCAACGCCGTTGGGGGCCCCGCGGGACGCCTGTATTTGAAATGGACTCGGGGGCACGGGACGCGGCACAGACGGGGCACACGCGCCAGGCTACAACCACGGGGAGGCACGTAGTGACGCAAGGGAGTCTCTTCGAGGATGACTTGCAGCACGGAGTGACTTGATCGTGAAACACGACAGACCGACTACAGGCCATCGTCGCGTACGAGGAAGGGCTGACTCACGAGCCCGACTCGGCGGTGATGAAGGAGGCGGCGGACTAGCCGAGAGGTAGCCGAGAGACTGCCGAGAGGCAGCCGAGAGGCAGCCGAGGTACAGCCGAGGTTCAGTCGAGGTACAGCCGAGAGATGGCCGAGAGACAGCCGAGAGGCAGCCGAGAGACAGCCGAGAGCCGAGAGATGGCCGAGAGAGACGCCGCGAACAGGCGCTCGCCTCGATTCAGCTCAAGCTCTCGGGCGCCGCCAGAGAGCGCGTTGCCACGTTGCCACTCTCGAGGCGTGCTTCACGAGGGACTAGTCCTCCTCGAACAGGCGCCGCCGCCGCGGAGGCAGATGCCGCAGCAGCGCGCAACGCGTGGTTGATGGCTTGACTGTGAGTGAGGAACAGGCGCCGCCGCGGAGCAGACGCAGCAGCAGCGCGGCCCGCCGCCTGGCGTCCCAACCGTCCCCGCCGCGGCTGGAGGAGACTTGTCGCCCCTCACGCTGCTTCTGACGCTGGTGTACTTTGTGCCTCTGCTCGGCGAGATCTCGCCGAGATCTCGCCGAGATTGCGCCGAGATTGCGCCGAGATTTCGCCGAGATCGCGCCGAGATCGACCGGAGACCGAGCCGAGACCGAGCCGAGATCGAGCCGAGATCGAGCCGAGATCGACCGGAGATCACGCTGGGGCGTCGCGCAGACACGTACACACACACTCACACACACTCACACACACTCACACACACTCACACACACTCACACACACTCACACTCACACACACACACACACACACACACACACACACACACACACACACACACACACACACACACACACACACACACACACACACACACACACACACACACACACACACACACACTCACACACACTCACACACACACGCCGCTCAGCCAGCGACGCCTCTGCTGCCGCGATCTCTCGGCTCGATCTCGGCTATCTCCCCCTGACTAGGTGCGGCGCGGCGCGACCTGTGCTACCGCGGCGCGCTGTGGGCCGCCGCCGCCACCTGCTTGCTCAGCCTCTCCCGCTCCTGGCCTCTGAGCATGGCGAGATGTAGCCGAGATGCAGCCGAGAACCAGCCGAGATGCAGCCGAGGTGCAGCCGAGGTGCAGCCGAGGTGCAGCCGAGGTGCAGCCGAGGTGCAGCCGAGGTGCAGCCGAGGTGCAGCCGAGATGCAGCCGAGATCCAGCCGAGATCCAGCCGAGGTGCAGCCGAGATCCAGCCGAGGTGCAGCCGAGATCTCTCATGACGAGGTCTCTGCTGTTGCCCCGTGTTCTCCGCCCATGTTCTCCGTCCATATCTCCGCCCATATCTCCCCATATCTCCCGCAGGCGACGCTCAAGGACTCCACATCTCTCCCCATCCCCCCCCCACATCTCCGCACATCCCCCCACATCTCCCCACACCTCCCCACATCCCCCCACATCTCCCCACATCTCCCCACATCTCCCCACATCTCCCCACATCTCCCCACATCTCCCCACATCCCCCCACATCTCCCCACATCTCCCCACATCTCCCGCAGGCGACGCTCAAGGACTCCACATCTCCCCCCATCCCCCCCCCACATC